CTGGTCTTCTTCTTCATCCTCTGAGTGGCGCTTGGCCTCAGAGGCCTGTTTCAGGGTGGCGCTTCCCTCTGGAGGCAGTATATGGGTGGCGCTTGATATTTCAGGGACTCAGGGGTAGTACAGCGGTTACTCAGGGTTGGGGAGAGCGCTGCTCATTTCTGAGCAGCGCACCATGGTTCTGGGGTTATTCTGACATTTCGAGACTTTGAGTTTAAGAAACAGTTTAACAGTGTGAATACTGTGTATGGACTATCTTTGCTTCATTGTTTCCTGGATGTGATCTACTCGGCTTTCCTTTGTGACTGGTTGTGAGGGTTCTGTGGAGCGAATTCAACTTGCGGTGTGATACTCCCATCCTCTGCCCTTCCTTTTGTGTATGTATGGGCATACCTGGAAGTCTATGTGAGTGAGTGTTGGTCTTCTCACAACAAACAACCAGGATCATACCATTTCACTGAGTATAGGGCCCTGCCGCACTACTCACCAAATGCCCAGAAGACAAAAATTATGGTAGTGCATCTTTCCAGGTTCTAGGGAAAGATTCATTCTCATTTTGTACATTTGGCGAGTGGCGTGGCGAGGCCCATGCTCACACTCGGACTTTTTCAACTTACATGCGGATGTAATTGCGGTTAGGTGCATCCAGGTTGGACTGTGAAAGAGGTCAGATGCATCCAGGAAAGTCCTCATGTGGGTATTCCGAGAGTCTTGCGCACTCAGGCCCCAGTGTGCAGCTGCTCTTTCCTGTTTATTTTCCCCCCTTTTTTGAAGGGCGGCCGCCTTGAGATATCATCATTGAACCGACCGCCCGGTAACTCTGAATGATTTTGTTCAGGAAATCTGATTGCTAGATGACCTGCTGCAGCCTCACTTGCAAGAACATAGGAGGCAATACCACCGATCCTTTATTATTTCTTTTACTGTGGGAATTTTCTTCGAGAAGCAGTGTTTTTTGCACTGCGCTGTGTGAAATGACTCACACAGTTGCAGTCCCGGAACTCAGAACTTTTCAGAGAACATGCTGCCATGTTAACGTGTTTGCTCAAGATCACGACTCTGAGTCTGTTTGCTGTGTTTTCTGAATATGTTTGTGGTTGGGAACATCCGTTGAAATTGTGTGGAAAACAAGTCCCGGACCTCTGAACACGTTAGTGGTCTGGAACATCCGTTAAAATTGTACGGAAAACAAGTGCGGAACTCTTCTGAGTTCCATAACTCAAAATAGGATGGAATACCACCAATCTTGTATGGAAAACAAGTACGGGACATCTGTTAAAATTGGAACGATACAGAGAAGATTAGCATGGGCCCTGCGCAAGGATGACACACATAACTCGAGAAATCGTCCGGACAAAAAAATTAAGTACATGTGTGCAAACAAGCGTGCATGGGCACATGAATGTGTGCATGTTTGGGGCATGATTCAAGCCTTATGCATCCTGGTGCATGTGATGGGATTGCATAATGCCTGAGTGCTCATTTCTGACCTCTGGCATTTTGTCTCAATTGCAAGAGTGCACAAGTGCTCTTTGAAGCACAGCACCTCGGAAGAGGAAAGAAGTATAGAGCAAAGATGCAGGCGAGTATGAATGAGCACTTCGCATTAAAAAAATGGTGAAATTCCAGGTCTTCGTTAACCACCACTCCTAGAAGAGAGCTTGGGGAGTTTGTCATACGCCTAGGAGTCATGTCTGAGCCACAGTGGAATTGTACTGATGCTGCGGGGGTAACCAGATTAACATTTGGCAAAAAAAAGAAAAAAGAACTGATGAACAGGAACCTGGGATACAAGATACTTCACCTTTTCAAGATCCAGATTAGCTGCATCCAGTAATGTTTTGCGAGCACAGCATTTACGCATGAGACCTCATTACAGTCGTCAACACCTGTTGAATTTGCCCAAGACATTGCCTGTCTCAACTCCACAGAGATGCGTTCTGCAAGATCCCCATTGGCACATATTGTCTCCCTTTCCATTTCGCCTGGAGGTCCTCCTTCAAGGGGAGAAAACTGGCTAGCTGCCCAGAACACCGTCTCTGCAAGACCACAAGGGACTGCTGATGGTGAAACTTTTCTGAGGAAGTCCCAGATAATGGGCACGCAACGCCATCGATCTGCTTCATCAACTGCGCTCCTCTGAAGCCTCCTGAACTCATTCACTGACAATACATTTGGTCTTTCCCCGAGTCCTGTTCCTGCCAATCCCCCTACTTCTTCTCCATCCTCGTCTTCATCCTCCTGAGCCAAGTTCGGAGGTGTCTGTCCTTTGGAGCTTGCCTTATTCCTAATGAACAAGGCCGATAGCACTGAGACATCCCCAATTAACATAAGCTGGAGAAGATCCAATGCAGACTGCTGGATTGTAGCTGTATCTGAAGTACTCATGACAGTTTCCAATAAAGCTGGGCCCCTACAAATAGCATCGACAGCAGCAACTGTTAAGGGCCTCATTCACAGAAGACACCAAGCCGGGACCAGCACCACTCAAACTCTTATCATTCATCCCTGTTTTGAATTTCACATATATTTGAACAATTACCTGCAATGCAAAAAGATTCTTCCACAGACTAGACGTGGACATCCATTAAGCGATACAGATCCAGCATGTCAAGGTGGCCCCAATTTAGGCACTTCAGAACACCCCTTGAATAATACGGAGAAGATTAACATGAGCCCAACATAAGGAGAACATGGAGAAGTCGAGAGGGAGCATTTCTATCCTTCATGTGTCCTTCAGTAATGCCCATCAATCCTTCTGATTGAACGCTGCAATGAATAATCATGGCATAGTCCATGTGCAAGCACAACATGCAAAATGAGTAATGCGCCGCCCTTCTCAGTGCACACCTGTCCTGCAACTTGTAGCAATCCAGACCACCTGACAGGGATTCGGACAGTAAGGGGGTCAGTGTCCGGGCCCACTGTCCGGATCCCAGTTCGGATAGGAGGGCCCAGGCACAATGGGCATATTTTTTTGGGCGGTCCTGGGCAAACTTCACGCCGAGGGCCGCCAGAGAAAAATCGGAACCAGACTTTTGAAGGCCCTGCTGGCATCCGCGATGCCCAGAGATGTTTTTTCCTGTTTAGGGGTTTTTTTAAGTCCTTTTTTTTGGGCATTTGAAGGTTTTGACGGCTGCTGTTTTGCAAAGGAACCTCTCAATTTGAATGTCTGCCAGGGCCGTTCCGACCCACTTTGTGTTTCGACTCACATACAGCCCACCATCGTCCTTGACGAGGGAGGTAGACGCAGGGCAACGTGAAGCAAGCTGCTCTCTCTCTCTCTCTCTCTCTCTCTCTCTCTCTCTCTCTCTGCAATGACTTGCTGTTTGCTGTCGCCGGTGACCCGTCGACCCGAGGCAGTAACATAGGTAGGCTAGATTTGTAATTTTGTTTGTATGAGGGCTAACTGAGAGACCTGCCTGTAAGGGAAATTCGTGTGGGACATATCTGCAAATTTGGGAAAACATAGGCCCGCACTAACTGGAATTTCCTACAGCTACTGTGACATGCTGCGCCTGCAACAGGCTGCACGGGCCATTTCCAGGCCCGTGACGTTTTCAGGCCAAAAGCCTGAAAACAAGGGCCTACAGGCCCTCTGTCATTTCAGGCCAAAAGCCTGAAAACAAGGGCCTACAGGCCCTGTGTTTTTTCAGCCTGAAAGCCTGAAAACAAGGGCCTACAGGCCCTGTGTCGTTTCAGGCTATATCAGGGCCTTTCCGGCCCTGAGTGTTTTCAGCCTGAAACTGAGGGCCATTTCCGGGCCCTCATGAGTTCGGCCTGCCCCGAAACTCAGGCACCAGACCAGGATTTTAGCTCAGGCCATTTCTGGCCTATTTTCAAGACAACCTTTGTTTGAGCTTCAACCCCAGGGTCTGGCACGTTGAGGCATTGGCAAAAGCAGCCTCCCCGACAGGCCAGCACTATAAAGGACTGCCCCCTGCAGGCCGGCAGGTAGTTCATAGGTACTTCCCAGGCACTTCACGTGCACTTCAGGAGGCAGGAGGTAGTCTTCAGGATTCGTCAGCAGCACTCTGGGGGGCACTGCAGTAGTAGTAGCGTTAGCAGTAGTCTTCAGCGCTGGGCGCTAGTAGCGTTAGCTGTAGTCTTCAGCGCTGGGCGCCATAGCTACAGTAGTACTATAGGGAGAGAGATTGGGCGGAGGCCAGAGGGACTTACCTGCAGCGCCATCGCTCCAGCTTCGTCTTCAAGGTACCTGCAGCACAGCGCCACCTTCACAGGTTAGTACCTGGGATATGACAGAGAGAGAGAGTTCTTCTTCTTCCTCTTCTCAGTCCCCCATCTCCCTCTCACCCTCTCGATATCTGACTTCACTGCATCAGCAGACTATGAGAGAGAGAGAGAGAGCTTGGTGACATCTGGATCCAGACTCGACATTGGACTTCAGACATTTTGATGAGGGATTATTTGGGGCTTGTAACGAGACTTGGTGTTGACGACTTTCCCATGTCTCCCCTCCTCTTCTCCGTCTGATCCTCTCCTCTTCGTTTGTGCATGAAATGGACCTGGCGCCTCTTCCTGTGTATAGTGCCAGGCTCCCTTCACACCGTGTGGTGAGCATGATGTATGTTTGGTCTGCGTTGTAACATTGATTGGGTTAGTCATTAGTATTCCAGTATTCTGCTGCGCTATCTTGTACTACGTGAGATTGGGTGTGTCATTAGTATTCCAGTATTCTGCTGCACTATCTTGCACTACGGGAGAGAGGCCAGTACCGGTCAGGTCAGGACTTGTATCTAAGTCTTCCACTGCGCTGTAAAGCACCATTTTGTATGTATCAGAATGTACACTGCTCGTTGAGATTTCACTTGCACTGCATTGTCCATTCAGTCCTTTTCATCACATTGCGGATCCTTGGTTTATATGTACATCGCCCAACTGGGCATGTAACAGCTACCCTAACTGCGAATAGCAGGCCCGGGCTGCCCCTAGGACAGACAGGCCCTAATGGCCTATGCCAATAGACGGTCCTATAGCCTATAGCCAGGTAGGGAGAGGCCGAGAGGCCAAAACTGAAACGGTACGGGTCAGTCCAGTCAGTCCGGTCTAGGTATAGGCTAGGGTAGTGTAGTTCTATTAATAGATTGGAGGAATCGGTCCAGGGCTTTTGGGCAGTACAGCACTGCTGCGCAACGCATGAACTGGAGTGGTGACAGCTTCAGCGTTGGGGAAGAAAGACATAGCTGGACCTGCGAAGCGTCGGCCATAGCTGGGACCTGCGCTGTTCTTTGACAGCACGCGGGGCTGTTCAGAGGTCCGGGCTATCTGAATTCTGCTGGGGGCGAGAGAAGTTGGTGTAAAAGGGCCTTTACGATTCAGACCCCAAATGAGTACCCCAGCATAGTGGGGCCAGACGGCCAGAACTTAATTTCACGTGTAGCATCCAAAAGACAAGTAAAGGTCGCATCCAAACGAAAAGGAAAAGTCGTGTGGAAAGTCACAGTCAGGTCCTGGACGAACAGGCACTGTGTTTTGTTTTAGTGCTAAAGATAAGGTCACGTCTGTTCAATACTAAGTCAAAGGTCACAGTCCCAGGCCAGTCACAATTCCGAGGGTCAGGTCTGATTCAGTCCAGGAGTCCAAAAGACAGGCCCGACGGCCACAGCAGCAGCAGACCATGGGAAAGGGTACTGGGACACACATTTTGCAGCAGCAGGTACTGGGTAAGAGTCCCAGGTGAAGGGAGGCTGGACGCAGACCTCATTCAGTCAGTCCAATCGTATAAAGGACCTGGCCAGCCTCCCATTCGGCAGAGACTCATTGGCATGAGAGTGTGGAAGTGCTGAGGCACTTGTGCGCCAGAATGCTAGTGAACTGCGCGGGCTAGAGAGCTGCGCTAAGGAAGAAGAAGGGCGCTGGCTGAGAGAAGCAACCATAGCTGCGCCAGCAGAAGTTAGTAGCAGTAGAAGAGTTAGTAGAAGGAGTACCAGTGAGTAGTATTCAGAGTAGATCCTCGTGTGATAGGGAGTGTGCATGCGAGATGAGTGTAAGTAGACCAGGACTTCAGAGAGAGACAGAGAGAAGAAAGACGAGGAGAGAGGAGAGAGAAGAAACTTATGGTGTTACCTACCTGTTGAGCGCTATTCTTGATGATTGGCTGCTGGTGCTGATGTGCGCCAGGCCAGGAACTCACGTTGGATGAGAAGACTTGTAATTCTGTTGGGCGCTATACATTTTTGAACTCGTGATTCTCTCTACTTAATTTGGTTGTGAACTTGTGATAATTGAATTGCGCTATCTGGTGACCACTCATTTTCCTTTCAGCTTCGTGTGAGGCTACGCAATCTGTGTGAACTGTATTCATGCATGCAATGTGAAACACTCCAGCAAGTGGTGAACAGTTGGGTTCCTTGCAGGTGCCCTGCTGCACCCTCCTCAGGAGTAGGGTATCAGGGTGTACAGACTTCCACAGAGATCATCTTTGTCGGGAGAGGTGGCGGTGCTACAGACTTCCACCTGGGAAGTCCTCAAGCACTTCATCATCATCAGAAACTGTGCCGCTGGGGTCTTTTTCTTCATCCTCTGAGAGGCCCTCTGAGCTGTCTCTTATACACATCTAGATGTGTATAAGAGACAGGGAGTAGGGTATCAGGGTGTACAGACTTCCACAGAGATCATCTTTGTCGGGAGAGGTGGCGGTGCTACAGACTTCCACCTGGGAAGTCCTCAAGCACTTCATCATCATCAGAAACTGTGCCGCTGGGGTCTTTTTCTTCATCCTCTGAGAGGCCCTCTGAGAGGCGCTTGGCCTCAGAGGCCTGTTTCAGGGTGGTGCTTCCCTCTGGAGGCAGTATATGGGTGGCGCTTGATGTTTCGGGGACTCAGGGGTAGTAATAGCGGTTACTTAGGGTTGGGGAGTGAAGTGCTGCTCATTTCTGAGCAGAGCACCATGGTTCTGGGGTTATTCTGACATTTCGAGACTCTGAGTTTAATAAACAGTCAGGCTAACTTACGCAGGGGTGAGAGATGGTATATCCTTCCTCTGGGAAGCAATCAATGCCGTCTAGTCGGGTCTCCCAGCCATAATGGGGGGCAGCGTGCGTGTGTCTCTTATGTATTCCGTATTGACTTGCCGGGGGAAAGGAACCGGACTGTTGCTCCCCAGAATGGTAGGAGCCAGAGCCATGAGGCTTTGTAAAAATAATAAAAAAAAATAAACAGTCTGGATACTGTGTGTGGACTATCATTGCTTCATTGTTTCCTGGATGTGATCTACTCGGCTTTCCTTTGTGACTAGTTGTGAGGATTCTGTGGAGCGAATTGCACTTTCAGTGTTTTCTGTCATATCGCATGGATAAGTCTTCCGCTGTGTTTATCTCTCTCTGTGCGGTGTGATACTCCCATCCTCTCCCCTTCCTTCTGTGTATGTATGGGCATACCTGGCAGTCCATGTGACCGAGTGTTGGTCATCTGACAACAAACAACCAGGTTGATAACAATTTGAATATCTGTCAGGGCCGCTCCGTTCCACTTTGAGTTTTGACTCACATACAGCCCAGCATCGCCCTTGACGAGGGAGGTAGACGCAGGGCAACGTGAAGCAAGCTGCTCTCTCTCTCTCTCTCTCTCTCTCTCTCTCTCTCTCTCTCTCTCTCTCTCTCTCTCTCTCTCTCTCTNTCTCTCTCTCTCTCTCTCTCTCTCTCTCTCTCTCTCTCTCTCCATATTTTTGTGTGCAGTAGCAAACGTCCATAAACTCTCTCCCCATATTTTTGCGTGTCCATACATGAAGTAAACCATCGTGGTCTGAGCATGCCCTGAGTGAGTTGTGCCATAGCATTTTTTTGCATGCATTAGCAAAACGTATGATCGTGTGATGTGTGAGTGCTGCCTACTTGTGTGTGTTAGGAGCACCATTGTTGCGAGCGACTGAGGGCATACGATGCGTGCAACTTAGGTCATACTGACACTCAGACTTTTTCTACTTACCTATGGACGTGATTGCAGTCAGATTCATAGAGGGCTGGCTGTAATTGTGATCAGATACATTTAGAAAACGGCTGGTGTGAGTGTGCCCTGAAGCACGGCCTTGTGACGGCAGTCCAATGATTTGCTGCTGTGTGGAACACGCGCCAGCCGCCCTTCATTTGCTTGTGTGCCACCACCGCATCATGCATGGACCTGAAAAAAAGTCCTGATGCAGGGCGGCCTCTCCAAAAGAAGAACAGAATGGCAAGGGGTGCCAGCTACTGACATCGGTACTGACAAGAAAAGAACGACCCGGCGAACGGCTGAGCCTGCAAACACCACAACAATTGTTGGTACTCATAAGCGGCCCGTTTTCCTTGTTTTGTGATTAGGTGCAGGCATCGTCGAACTGCCCGGCCTTGACATACAATGCGGATTCGACCACAGGTCTGTATTTCAATAGTTCATATACAAATTGAGCCCTTTTTTAAATGCTTTCACGCTTGTGGCGTTTTTTTTTCAGCTTCGTTTTCCCACCGTGCGGCCAGCCCATTCGATAGCGAAAGAAAACCTCCGTCATCCAGATGGTTGTGGGATAAGGAGAAGCAGAAACAAGTACGTGTCAACAAAATAGGGTAGAGACAAATCGAGCTCTAGGGCTTTCCAGGCCGCCCACTTCAAGATCCAAAGGCCGAGATAGGAAACTAAGCAATCGGTGTGCAGCGTTACAACCTAGGGCCAAAAGCTTTAGAGTATTGTATTAGATTCACATTGCCTACCAATTCAGTGGCATTCACCTTTTTCTTCAGTGAATTTGCACCTGTGCTCTACGACTTCTGACATAAATTCTCTAACTTTGTACCCATTCGGTTTTCAGTCCATTCTTCTTTCCCCCCTCCCTTTTAGTAAAGATGGCGACGTCCGTGAAATACCATCGTCAAACTGACCAGGCCCAGGTACTTCAGAATTATTGAATACCATTCATCTAGTTCCACCTGGATTCAAACTCTGGTCTGTCATTTATGCAGTTCACGGGTTTACCAGCTGAGGTAGGCCAATTGGTCATTCCATTCTTTCTGAGAAAAGGCGACTCTAACATTGTTATATCAATCAGGACTTGAACAGGTTATTTGTTCATTAACAATCACATGTGTGTACAATTCAGCCACAAGGCAGGTATTGTTTCTATCCCTTTCATACACATCTTGAGAGGTCCTTGCAATCCCTCCCAAACGCTCACCATATGTTTGCACATTCCCAGGGTGGGGATGACCCTGGGAAGGAGGCCTGAACAGAGTAGCCCCGCCGCACAATGTCAAATGCAATCTGCAAAAACAGAGACACAAAAATTATAGTCAACCACCCCATTTTGAAGAGGCATTCAGGGAAGAGCGGCCAAGTGCTGACTCTGCTCGCATGAGACAAATTGAGGCTGCAACAATTTCATCCAAACCTCTTCATTACTGAGCACCTGAAAAAACATTGCACAAGCTCAGGATACTTCTAAGATTCTTCCAAGAATCCAAACACTATTTGCCCAGCCATGAAAAGAAGACGGAAATGCTCTAGCGACCAGCACTTGCACCTTCAAAGGGGTAACCCCTAATATCATCATATCTATTTGCTTCGATGAGGAACTAGTGAGGTGCTTGCTAACAATTACCTGTATATCACTCAGCTTCATGGGCTGGGTTGAGAACAGAACTTTGGCCACCAGATAAAATATTTTCCGTCTCCCAAGACATTTTCTTGAGCATTTTTTTCACTCTTAACGATGCATTTGAGCAGCAATATGGTCAGATTCAGCCGAGTCCCCCTAAGCCTGCCTGGGATGTACTCGGACATACCGAAGGCCACATTCATCAGGGTCACACTAAGGTCTCGCTGAGGGAAATTGACTAGACATTAATGCCAGATCCAGTTATCGTCTTGGAGAGCAAAGGAGAAACACCTACAGAACCAATCTACCTCAGCAGTTAAACCACCAGTGCCTTTCTCAGCTATCGAGTCCGAGCCTGGCCCTACCAGTACGCCGAACCCTCCCGGTAGGTGCACAGGCTTCGATCGTTAAACCACTAGTACCTTTGCCGCATGGGAAAATAGTGGGCCTCGGGTGGGCTTCCGACCTTTTCGGAAGCCAAAATGACGGCTGCCAATCAGATTTGTCAATGACAGCCGTCGTTGGGCCCGGCCTCCAAATTTTTAGGGCTTCATGAAAACTGCCACTTTTGGCTATTGAGGTACCAGTGGTTTAAAAAGAAAAAGAAGAAAAAAATGCAAAGAAAGGAAAATTCCAACAACGTTCGACCGCAAATAATAAAGAAAAAAGAAGACTACGGGGAAAAAAAGGTGAAAGGCAGCACATACTTTGGGAATGTGTAAAATGACAATGAACAATCCAGCATTATGGCGAAGGATTCATTCTCAATTTGCACATTTGGAAGAGCGCCCGGGGGGAGGGAGACGGAGGGAGGGAGGGGGGAGAGGGAGGGAAGGGGGGGATCTCTSTCTCTCTCTCTCTCTCTCTCTCTCTCTCTCTCTCTCTCTCTCTCTCTCTCTCTCTCTCTCTCTCTCTCTCTCTCTCCACGCACATCATTCCCCATTGTGCCGTTCATTCCAAACTTTCAAAATGAGAATGAATCTTCCGCGGTAACGCGCAAGGATTCATTCCCATCTCTCTCTGTCTCCCTCTCTCTCTCTCTCTCTCTCTCCCTCCGCGTGCCCAGTTCGTTCCCCGCTGCGCGATTTGTTCCCCAATGCGCCGTTCGTTACGAACTTTCAAAATGAGAAAATGAATCTTCCGGGGTAAAGCGGGAAGATCCCTCTCTCTCTCTCTCTCTCTCTCTCTCTCTCCCCACGCATACTTCATTCCAAACTTTCAAAATGAGAATGAATCTTCCGCGGTAACGCAGGAAGATTCATTCCCGTCTCTCTCTCTCTCTCACACACACACACACACACACACCGCCCAAAGCCCCCCAACCAAACGCACCGTTCGTTTTTCAAAAAGTCAAAAAGAAATGCTTTCTTCCCTTTGATTTTCTTCTCTTCTTGTTTTTTTTTGCATGCTCGGTCTGCCGGTGATTTTGGGCACGGCCCAGCGTTCCAGTTCCCGACCCCCCATGTTAACCGCCACAGGTTTGTTTTTCAAGTGGTGAAAGGTACCGCTGGTTTAACTGGTCAGTTTCTCCATGTTTCAAGTTCTGCACGTAATTTCAAAACCCGAGACCAGCATTTCGTTGAACTTCAATGTCTGTGTGACTCCATGTATGCAACTGTTCCTCAGTGTGTGTTGTTATGTTCACTGCCAAAACTGTTTTGTCGGATTTCACCTACTCATCAGGAGGTTGAACGCCAACAGTACCCAGGACGCATGTCACTGATGGATAAGGACTCGACACATCACCCAGAATCAGCAATACCCCTGAAAAAGTGGTTGACTTTACTCACACCAACCCTGCGAATCTGGCAGACTGTCAGTGACCTTGCAGAACATGTCCACCTTATATTTTGTTGGTTGGCTCAGTGATGGTCATGAACATCCTCTTAGCAGTTCTGCAGGGGAGTTAAGGATATTCTTTTCTGTTGTCTTAGTGATACTCATGAATATGCCTTTAGCAGTTCTGCACCGGGAGCAGCTTGGGGCTACCAGACCACAATGTCTGGGGGCACCAGCCAAAACAGAAAAAAATTGTGCCACTGGCGGTTTGGCAAAGCCTGGTGCGCAGTGCGAATCTGCCTTTGCAAAAAGAGGCTCGGATGTACTGGTCCTTTGGAGAGAAAGAGGAATGACGGCAGATAGAGGAGTTGGGAGAAAAGGCCATCAGGAAAATCAAGGGGAGGCAGGAGAGGAAATAATTAGTGCTAATTTCAGTTTGGGAAAAAAAAAGAAAAAAAAAAAGGCTCGTGTGAACTCCTTTTTGGAAAGGCTGATGGCACGAGGGTGAGTAGCGCCATTTAGAAAATAGGCCATCTCAGCAAGGAATGTGACAGGTAGACGAGAGGGAGATACTGCAAAGGCACGCTTGGAAAAGCAAATTGAGGTGTTGAGGAAAGAACATTATGCATTTCCCTATAGGGACTTGTGGGGGACATAGCTACTGCGTTATAGTGTGCATCTGAATGGGGGGACCCTGGACCCACTTCCCAGTAGATGTCACTCCCCACCATAGATTGGAGCAATTTGAATTAAAAGGGGGAAAAAAAATGCTTTGCATAAGAAATGCAGAGATGAGAACACCAATCTGTTTACTGCCTAGATGGCACATCACTACCTTCTCCTGCACATGTCACCTCATCATCACGAACATATACAAACTCTGTTCCGGGCTCAAATACTATCATATGCTGAGGCATGGTGTTCAGGGCAGGAAAGTAATTCCATGTGTAATTGGTGTAGAAAAAATAACTGCATGCTTGAGAACATCAGAGAGCTTCCGCTCATTTGATACCTGGCCCAAGCCAGGATGCTTCACGAGGTAAAATTCTGCAAACACTAAAAAAGGAAAAGAAAAAGGAGTTCCATCGCTGCTTACCTGCTTGGCTCTTGTGTTCATCATCTTGAAGTGCTTATTCTCTGGAACTTGCTTAAGCAAAATAAAAAGCAAGTTCCTACGTTGCCGCTCAATTTGGCCTTCCTGTAAAGCCTCCAAAGACTGTTTCGATTGTACATGGACATCAAATATGGATCAGACAAAAAATAAACTAAATAAGCCACAGAGAAAACCTGCTCACTGCATCGCACTCACAACTAACATGACAACCAATATACCTTTGACTCTTTGAGCTAATTGATAGACTATGCTCCCTGGAGGCGATTTGATGTTTAGTCACCTTGGGAGGATAACACATTTCATATGGTTGCCATGCATATTTCCATAATTCCATCTTGCATTCTGCAGTCAACAACTAGGCCCCAGAGCCTACTTATAAGGAAGAGATGGAGGGAGGGAGATAGCAAAGGTGGTCTCTAGATTGGAGGGTGCGGGTGAAGGGAAAAACCAAGATGGAGGGAGAGAGTGAGAGCATGCACGTGCGGAAAGGGGTTAATCAACGGGTGTTGCAAGATAATGTAATACCTGCAAGTCTGTGCGAGATAAAATTTGTCGACACCACTCACCCTAACAAGCTTCCCAAAAAGCTAAACTTGGCAACCAGAACATTGAAATCATGATCCAAACCAGAAACCGAACTCCGCGTTGTCACATTTGATGCACAGGCCTGCACCGGTTTCTTTGACAGCCTAGACTGGTACTGACGGGTAGGCCCGTTTGTTTCGCGTGTCTTTGGGCAGTCAGTCTAGAAGTAGGCCGAGGCCGAAGTTGGTTGGGTTGTTTGGGGTTCTTTTCTTGTTGCTTCGTTTTGGAGAGCTGAGGGTGAGCACTACTGCAAAATTCAGTTGAGGGAGCTATCTCCTTCTTCAAGGTGTGGCAGCCATAGGCCGTGTGAGCAAGTAGGGAGCAGCACTGAAGCTAGGCTTCTGGCGCTGAAAGCGGTTCACCTTACCTGTGCAACCCATCTTCTGCCTGGCGGCTTCTTTCCGTCTTCATCAAATTGGGCGTTTTCTTCATCTGGATTGCTGGCACTGCTGACCCTGATTGGGCGCTGCTAGGATACAGGGGTTACCAGTGGAATCCTTATTGGCGTTTGGTTGGGGAAGGTCGCCGGTGGATCTGCTGGCTTAAAGCTGCGTGCAAGGTTTGGATGGCCGCCATAGCCAGGGTTTGAGGTGGTGCTGGGAGGAAGAAGAAGACCACATAATTCGTTGAAACAATGTTTTGATTTGTTCGAAGTCGTTGGAACATTGTGGTCGTTGTTGTTGTTTTTTCTCCAAAAAATGGCAAAAACAGGCCTTTCATTTCCAATATAACAGCAAGGCGGGCTGGCCACCCCACATAAAGACCGGATCTGGGAGCATTACCCAGCGTTATGCTTTTGACAGGACCCCATGGGACCCAACCCCGAAGTGCAACACTTCACTAGAACTGTGTTGGACCTCCCAAGCTTCAAACCCTAAGCCCTAGTTTCCCTTATCCTAACCCCTGACCTGTCTTACTTCCTTTGGATAGCCCCCCCTGTGAAATATCTTGACATTATTCTGCCTTCCCAATGTCCTCCTTTTCCTCCTTCCCCGCCACCCTTCATCCCCGATCCTTCTTGATCCTCTCTTTTTTGTTTTCCAACCGAAAACCGAAGGCGCTGCTAGGGAGGGTGGGAAGTGCGTCATCTCGAGCTTGGGTACTACAGCCCATTCCCAACCTCGTCCGACCGCATTGGACCTGCATTCCTCTTCCTGTTTCTTTCCGCCCCCGAGCCGTGTACCAGGGGAGTGGCCTGGCCGGAGTGTCTTCCGTGCGCCCTGGAGGCGGTCTCGTATGACTCTCTACACAGTCTCGAGGGTCAGTGCCCCATCCTGCTCCTGCATGCCTGGACTGTAGTGTCCTGTCCACTGCCCGAGTGGCAAGCATGTGGTGATCCCCAAACGGGGGTCACACCGCACCAGGAGACTCTGGGTTCTCTGGGAAACCCCAAATATTACTTGACTCGGGTTTGTGCAACCGCGTTGGAGCACCCTATGCTCCATTCCCTTCCGCTGGTTGTCCAATCCCATGAGCATACGATTCGCTGGTCTCATAAGCACACCTTTCATCCTTCTCTTGTTCCTGGCGGTGCCCGGTGTCATTTGTTTTCCTGTCTGCGCGCTCCACCGATGACACCAGTGCTCAGCCGTTTCTTCACCCACCCCGTTTCTCCATTTCCTGCGAATCCATTATGCTTCGCCCGCATGTCAGCTCCCAAGAGGGCCAGCTGTCACAGTCATGATGCTTCAGCCAGCTGGTATGGCCACCGCTCCGTCACGGTTACTCGAGTGCCGCTGTTGTCCTTCCAGTGTCTTCATGGCACCAGTGGGGGTTATCTTTACAGCGAGGCAAGGAGCAGGGTCATGGGGTGGGAGGGGAACACTCTAGCTGCGGGGGTCGCAGGGAGTCCGTGGCCCATGCAAAGAGGAGGTGCATCCCCCTTAGAGTTGAGATTCCGTCATTGCCGAGTGATTGATGGGTGAACTTCCGCAGGAAACCTCCTTCTCTGCCAGGATTTTCCTTAATTTTCCCCCACGTTTGTTCCCAGTCGGTGAGGTATTCTTTTTTTTGTTTGTTTGATGGACGACGGATCAGATATTAAACTGATCAGAACAGATACCACACTTTTGTGCAGTCGAAGTCTCTGGAAAAGTTGTGTTCCCAGGCTGTGAGGTCCAACGGGAGTGGCAGACCTAAGAGCCTGGAAATTGGGGGCAGACCTAAGAGCCTGGAAATTGGGCTGACAGGGAGGGGTTTCAGGGTGACCATCTCCCAGAAAGCTGCCGTTAAACCACCAGTACACCCGCACCTAAAATCCTGAAGCTACCTGCCCACTGCGCGCCGCTATTTCCCGAGCCTTCTGCGTGAGGGTACCTGCAGTGGGAATTTCGGAAGTGGCACCGATGCCGGCGGTCTACCTGAAGGGAAAAAAATAATAATAAGAAGAAGAAAGGAACAAACATGCCAGAGATCAATGATGTCGTGGAAGGACGTCATGGAGGCCATAGTCGAATGATCACTTTCCAGAATGCATCTGACCACTATTACGGGGAGAGGGAAACAGTGCTGTTTCTTACTTCTTTTCTCCTCCTGTTATTTTTCTTCCTTTCCCTGCCATCAAGGCAGCGCATATTCCTCGTGCTCAAAAAGCCCTCGCTGAGGGCATACTCACACTAGCGCCATTGAAAAGCATCCAACCACTTTCACGGCCAAAGATTTGTTGGTTTTTTTTTTTTTGTTCTTTTTTTGTGTCTGACAGTCATGCTCCCCGTGTTCTTTGTTCTGCCTAAGTGCCCTCACTGAGGGCAGACTCACACGGAGTACTCCAAAAAGTGTATCCAACTGCAATCATGGCCAAAGCTTGCTTTGTTTTTTGGGGGCCCAAAAATTTGAGAACCTTCTGATGCTCCGACCCTGCCCCGAGCCCGCCTTTTACTTCTTCTGGCGACAAGTTACTTTGCTGCAAGGCTGAGGCCGTGTACTGGTGATTTAACCCCCAGGCAGATGCAGCGTTGCCACAGAGCAAGAGACAGTTGCGGACATCTTCTACCTGCCCCGCCTTGACGGACCGATCTGGACATCCTGTAGGGCGAGGACAGGAAGCCGATTACTTGGACTCTGCCGTGGGCGTTGTTGTAAAGGGTTCTCACCCATCTTCTAAAGATCGGGCCCACCCCCATCTAGGACGAAGGTGCCGTAACTATTAACTGAGTTAACTCTCCAATGTCTCCATCCATAGCTGCTGAAACGTCCAATTGACCTGGTCGTACGCTTTTTGGAAGCCGAAGAAGAGTACGTCCGCATTTAGCTTGAGATCGGTTATGTACCTGACCGTCGTCGACCGGTAGAAGTGCTCTGCCGGCACACCGATTAGAGCCTATACCTCGCGCCGTGTCTGTCACCCACGGGAGGGTCGACCGGGGCTCCTGTAACCTGCAAGAAAACTGAGTTAGCCCAAGTCCACACAATAACCACTGAAATCGATCGAAGATGCGACGAGGAGATTCACAAACCAAATTTCGGGAGAAACAATTTATGTATTCTCATTTAGTCTAAAATAATAGGATCCGCTGCGCTAGTCCCAGTCCCAGAATTAAATTCTCCGTGCAGAACAGGAAAATCAGTTTGCGTCCCGACCGTTCTTACTGACAGTCTGGGGCAGATTCTTCGCCCAATCGGGTGACGTCGGTAACGGGCTCCCTGATCCCAGGGAACTGTACTCGAGCTCTCTGTGTCAGAGTTAGATTCTCCGGCCCACTGTGGCCATAGCTCCAGATCAAGCTTGACCATGGGCGCCAATCTTCTTGACCATCCTCCGCCTGCTTCCGATATCCCGGCCAAACTCCCGCGGCCCTCAGACGTCTGTAACAATCCGGAGTTTTTCATTTTAATTGTCTTTGCCTGTCTCCAAATGTCCAGTCCGGTCAGATCGCCCGGCATGAGCACAAGGTCCCAGGCTCGCTCCAATCCCATCTCGTCTAAAACCTGTCCTCAATCCCAACACATTCGAAAACCCTGGCTTGATCCCAAAGTCGTAGTTCCGTCGGAAGTCCCAGCTCTATTCAAAACCACGGTCTCGACCAGTATCGCGGCCTGCTTGAAGTCTCGAGTCGACCCATAGTCACGGTCCCATCCCAAAGTCTCGGTCCTTCTGACGAGTCCCGCCCCGGATGTACCAATTCGGCCCAACCCGGGTTTCGCAATCCCGATCTGCCTGGGTCCCCCGTCCCTGTTCAATTCTGAGCCCCGTGATTCCGGCCTCAGCTCTGATGTCCGGCCATCCTTGCTTGGTCTCGTGGTCTCAACTGATGAATTCTTACCAAGCTCCTGTTCGCGGCTCCTTTCAAAAGTCAATTTTCGTCGGTGTCCCATGGAAATGCCCTCGAGCCCGGAACAGCCCCGGTCTCCTTGCTCCTGCGCCCGAAGTTCTCGTCCTGGCCACGTCGAATCCGCGGACCCTATCCCTGTGTTCCGATCCGGGTCCTAAAGCTCGAGCCGTGCTCGAAGCCTCAGTTCAGTCAGATGCCCAGCTGTGCTCCAAGGGCCTGTTTCAATGTCTCTTCGACGCAGTGCTCGACCGCCCGTTTCAGGTGCGCCCTCGGGCGCGACGCGCTCGACCTTGGCCATATGTAGGCACACGCTGCTGCTCACACCCGTGCGCGAAGCTTCCCACGCGTTCTGACCTGCCTGCGAGTATGCGTGTGCTCTCGTGCTCCGATCCCGTCTGCGCACATGCTCTGCGGTTCCGTCCGCGCGCTCGCTCATACCCGTGTGTGCGCTCTTACCCCGATCTCGTGGAGTGTGCAAGTATTTCTACCCCGTTCTGCGCGTGTTCATGCTCCGATGCGCAGCCGAACGTGTGCGCGCAGGTTCGCAAGTCTCGTTCCGTGCGCAAACCTGCGCTGGCTGCGCACTAGTACGAGTGTGCGCGCGATCCCAATCACTTCACTCCTGATCCCGCAACGATGCGCGCGGCTGCTCGCTGCTCCACACGTGCCAATCCTTGCTCCTCGCGATTGCATGCGCTTTCCCCCGACCGGTGCGCGTGCATGCGCGGACGCGCACCGTTGCGCGCGGCCTCCTACACGTTCCTATCGGTGCGCGATGGTGCGTAGCGGTGAGCGCGTATCCCCGTGCATCCCGATCCTCTGCTGGCGCGCGCAGGCTCCTCGCGTGTCCCGTTATGTCGCGCTCTGGTGCTCGCTGGCTCCTCGCGTGTTCCGTCTCGCTGAGCGCTGGTGCGTGCTGGCTCCTCGTTCGATTGGAGCGTGGTCCTACGCAAGTACGTGTCCGCTAGTGCGGCTATGGTGCGCACCCTCAATCCGCTCTTCCTCTCCTGTTCGTCTCTCCTCCCGGTTGCTCCCCCTCTAGTGTGCCCAAGCCCTTGCTGCGACTGCGCGAATTTGCCCTCGTGCGTGCGCGTGCGCGCAACTACGTGCGCCGCGATCCCTTTTGTCCGGACTTGTGTGCGTGTGCACGCGGCTGCACGCGCCTCGTTTCCGATAGCGCGCGCGTGTCCGTGAATGCGCGCAGCCATGTGTGCCCCGATCCCAACTGATGCGGTTGTGCGTTAACGCGCACAACTCTGTGCGTGACGGTCGTGCGTTGTTGCGCGCCCGTGCGCCTCTTGTCCCCCGTCTCCCGAGCCCCTCCTGTATGCCTCCGCGTTTGGGAAGTCTCGAGCCCGTAAGTGCGCATCTTGTAGGTGTCCTGCTCTTGAGCCCGGTTGGGCTTAAATACTTTCCGGCCCTCTTCTCGGTGTGCCCCAGCGCCTTCGTGTGCTCCGGGCTGCCGACAAGGTTGCAGCGCCCCGGTACCATGGCTCCCCCGGGCCTATATCCGGGCCTGTTTGGCGTGTGCTCCGGGCCACCGACAAGGTTGCAGCGCCCCAGTACCGTGGCTCCCCCGGACCTGTATCCGGGCCTGTTTGGGTCCTCGAAGAGTTTCTAGCGAAGGGTTTTTTTTTGTCGGGTACCGGGCCTTTTGCAGCGCGCTGGTACAGGGCCTCCTTCCGAACCTAGGTCTGAGCCCGTCCTCTCGTGGTCCCCATACGAAAAGCACCGGCCTTATAAAATTTCGCAGGGCCCTAGCACCCTCTTCCCATCCTTGGGCCCGCTGCCCTCTTTAGCCTCACATATTGCCCAAGTACGATGGCTCAGAGAGCGCCCATGTAGTGCTATTCACCGATTTCGATCCCATGCTGAATTTGAGTGTTTACTGTCATTTAGTCCATCTGACGGCTCGTCCCAAGATCTGGCGCCCTACATTGTTCCGTCCACTGTCCAACTCTTAGCGTGAGTCCGGCCCTCTCGTTCACGCCCTTCATCTGGAGCTTCTGACACTTTCTTTGTAGTAGTCATTCCTTTGTGTCTTGTCATTGATATGCCTCAATGGAGCGCATAAAGAGATGCTCACTCACAATCATGGGCCCGCTTCTTCTTGATGTCTCGGCCTCGGCACTTGTCGCGTGAATCTGATGTATCTTTTTGATGTCGTTTGCAATCCCGCTAGGTAAAGCGACTGAATCCAGCTCTCCTCGAGAGTTATCTTCAAGGAAGTAAAGGGCAGCGTAAGGCTGGATCCGCCCGACAACAGCCGGCCCCCCCCCATTCTCGACGTCCCCGACGAGCCATCTCGGTGTATCAAGGGAAAAGAGAAGGAAATGTCAACTCCTTATCTCTACCAATCAACCCCAAGACTGTCCTCACCGCTTTCGTCGGGTATTTTTCTCTCGCTTCTTTTTCTTGTCCGGCTTCTTCTTAATCATCTTCCTTTTGACCCCTAATCGTTTCTTGACCTTCCATCGTTTCTTCTTGCTGCGACGTCCATCCCCATCTTTGCCTACGACTACCCTGCCTTTAACAGTCTTCTGAGTCTTGTGTTTCATTTCTCGCCTTAGGGTGGCTGACTCTAAGATTTTTCGTTTCGTTTTCTTCTTGTCTTTTCTCTGGCTGTTTCTGACACCTAAGACTTTTTCTCTTTTTTGTAGGCCTTTTAAGAAGTCTCTCCTCTCTCGTAGATGGACAACTTAGGCTCCTTCATGAATTTTGTCGAGGGCCCTTCAAAAGGTTCTACCGGTCCCTCTTCAAACTTCTCTTTTCCCTTGTCCTTCTTCGAATTCCGACGGACTTCTCCCCATTCTTTAAATACTTTCAAACAAGCCCCAGACACCGGTTCCTTCCATCTAGCCCCATCCAACTCCTCAAGCAGGTAAGCCCCGTCTTCTAATCTTTTAATCACGCGGTGGCGCCCCATCCATTTGTTTGCTAGTTTCCCTGTCCACGTCCTCTCCAGAGCAGAATCGTAGAGTAAGACTAGGCTCCTAATAGGTATTCCTTCCTGCCTAACTCGAAGTTTTTTTATAGCGTCCAGGGTGTTATCCTCGAGTGTCTCAGCTATTTACCTAATCCTAGTGCTTAGTAATTGCTCCCTAGTCGATGCCTCTTCCCAGTCAATCTTCGTCCACGAGTCCATATAGAATTATATGGGTAAAGGGCAATACCTCCCGAACCATAAGGTGTAGGGCGGGTACCCGGTAATAGATCGAACAGTAACGTTATCAGCCCAGACTACGAATCTCAGATACTTTGGCCACTTCTTCTCCTTTCCCTCGCACCATTTAGCGATCGCATTCACTAGAGATTGGTGTCCTTTTTCAACAGGGGCGTTAGTCTGAGGGTGGTATGCTGTGGACAATGAGACTCGGACCCCGCTCTTTGGAGCAGGCTCTGGACTTCTTTAGCCATGAACTCCGACCCCCTGTCCATAATGATCTTCCCAACACATCCGTATCGAGCGATATACTCCGTCAGACACTCACTGACCGTTTTTCCCAACTTCTGACGCAACGCCCATGCTTCTACGAACCCAGTTAGGTCGTCCCTGATATCCATGATATAATTCTTTCCTCCTTCACCTTTGGGCATCTTGACTGAAATCCGGTTGTGGAGAGGCCGCGCCCTCTGCCTGAGTTAGTTTTGTTGTTTCTGAAGCAAGTTCCTGGGCTTATAGTTTAATTGGTTCAAACGCACCGTTCATAACGGTGATATTGTAGGTTCAAATCCTACTAAGCCTATCTGGATTCTAGGATAGTGCCACAAATTCGAAAAGTAATAACAAGAATAGCGATCCCAATAGCACATTCCGCAGCAGCTACAGTTCATACGAATAAAGCAAATAATTGACCCATCATGTCATCTTGATAAACAGAAAAGACTAAAAAGTTCAAATTGACAGCAAGTAACATTAACTCCATTGACATTAACATAATAAGGATATTCTTTTTATTTAAAAAGATTCCCCAAATACCTAAAAGAAAAAGAATCATTGAAAATATTAAATATTTCAATAAATTCATAATCCGATATTTGTATTTATCCCCATTATCCCCGATAGTCGGAATCGTAATTAGTACGAGTAAGCTTCAAAAGATTCCCCAAATACCTAAAAGAAAAAGAATCATTGAAAATGTTAAATATTTCACTAAATCCATAATCCGATATTTGTATTTATCCCCATTATCCCCGATAGTCGGAATCGTAATTAGTACGAGTAAGCTTCACACCTCCACGTGAACTTTCTGCCCTATCGCGGTCGGATAGGAAGGAAACAACGGTTCCTTATATTTAACTACAACTCTTTTCTGACATTCCACGCATGTCTGGCAGTAGGACTCTACATCTCTATATAAGCCATCCCACCATTAAAGATTCCTGACCTCCTCAAAGGTCCTTTTTACTCCTCTGTATCCCCCAACGATCCCATCGTGAAGCTCCGCTATTATTTCTTTCTGCTCTCCCTCATCGCAAACTACCTGCATCGGCCTACCGTTTTTAGGTGGTCTCTTAAAGAGGTGGCCTGCCTTAAGATAGTACTGTTGAGCTTCTTTCCTGAGCTTATCATCAACCTCAGTCTCCCCTATGAGATATTGCCCTATTCGGTGGTACTTACCAGAAAGAGGTTCCCTGGGAACAAAGAGGCGCCACTAGTACTAAGCTCCATTTTTAATGAACCTATTTCTATGTGTAGAAACATATCAACCCCTCCAGGTGATCCCAAGTTTCCTTCTTCTAGCGGGATTCGTGACAACCCATCCGCCACCCAGTTATTAGCATCAGATATCCGCTCAACCACATAATCGAACATCCTTATATGCATGAGCCACCTAGTTATCATAGGATCTGTCAAAGATAAATCCTTTTGCAATACATCTTCTACCGCCGTCGGGTCGACCCACAACACAAATCTCTGTTCGTAAATATAATCTCTGAAGATATTCAAACAATGCAACACTCTGAGAACTTTTTTCTTGAACTGGGAATTCAATTCTTTACTTTCGAATCCGAGGGGCCTTTACTTACCACTAGAGTCTACGTGAGCCAAGACTGAACCAACGGATGTCGGCCCTGCGTCAGTGCATACCACGAATGGTCTCTTCTCTTCATCCTCGAAATAAGGAACACCTACGACCTGACCTCCTTCCTTAAACTCGTCCTTCAATACTTTTACCGCTCCCTCTTGCTTGCTTGTACATTTCCACTTTATCCCTTTACGTAGTAGCCTCCTTAACGGCTCCGCCTTTTCAGCGTACCCTTTTATGAAATTCTTCCAAAATCCGACCACTCCTAAAAATAGACATATGTCGGTAATATGTCGGAGCGGAGTAGGCCTGTTCATAAGTTTTTCTAGCTTCGCCATGTCTGGTCGTCTGCCGTCTTTATCACAGATATAGCCCAATGCCTTAATAGAGGATACTGCCCACCTACTTTTGGTCCCACTCACCGTGAGATTCGCGTGTCTAGCGTCACTAACACCTTTTTTACGTCCTCAGCGTGGGTTGCGACGAACTTCCTTACTCCAGGCTTCACCTCAGTTTCATCCTTCTCGTACGACTCTTTGATCAAAAAGTTGTCTAGGAAAACTTCCACCAAATTTGGTATAAGTTCTCCCAACACTTCCAACATATAAGCTTTCCCAACACTGCCACCATCGCTCTTTGAAAGACCGCAACGCCATTAGTCCTTCCTATCGGTACTACCATCATCTCGATTAACCCCGATGGCGTATGCATCGTGGTTAGATGTCGGTCTCTATAGTCACGCGAAATCCCATCGTAGCCTGATAAAAGATCGCAGACTGAGTAAATCGAACGCCCGACTGACCCATCGGATAGGAGATTTGCATTTGGAATGGACCCAACATCTTTAACCGTGACCTTATTTGTTTTTTGCAGATCTTGTATCCACCGTAGCTTCCCATTTGACTTTCGTATGAAGAACCACCTGTTTGCATAGGCACTCTCACACGGTTCAGCTACGAACGTCCTTATTTTTTCCTTCCAGAAGCCCACTATCATCTCCTTTTCCTTCTGAGCACACTTCCATCCCACGTCATTCCATGGCACATGCGGGACCGTATAGATTCTCGCGGGTTTAGCATATCGCGGATTTATTCGCCCTCTCTCCGCATCACAGAAGGCTACCGCTTTATCACATCCTCTTAATGTTTCTATTATGTTCATCCCTTTCAACCTCTCTTCAGTAATTCTTTGCCCCTTAGTAGCTTTTCGTTCCCGAATCATTCGAGTTATTTCTTCCTCAGTGATCCCTATTTCACCTGTCCTATCACGGCTAACCGCAGCCGGTTTAACCTTTCGGGCTACAGTTTTGTATTTCTTCCCCCCGCCGTGTAGGGGTATTCCTCCAAAAAAGACAGGTTTATGCACCCTTCAAACTCGTCGTCGTCGCTTTCTTTTGGGTAAGCAGTCCCGTTTACTACATACTTGTCCTCCAAATCTTCAACCTCAATCCTCTTCCCTTTTACTTTATGAGGCCCTAGGGTGAGTTCTTCAGGGACCATTTGGCAACTCCGCGTCATTAGCTGACCTTTACTCTGCAGGGAAACCTTGTGACGTTTATCAAACTCATTCACAGTCTTTAGTGTAACCCTGCTGCCCTCGGGCCCATCTATGGTGACTGTCTAACTTCCATCCCGCTTATTCTCGGCAGTGGCATTGACATGTGTTAGCCAAGTCCTCCCAAGGATTAGCTGTGATGAACAATGTTCCGCCATGAAAACTGGCACGGTGGCCTCGACTCCAGCCACCACCACCCTGGCCTTATGACATCCCTCAAGCGCTGGTTGCCTCAACTTGTTAGCCGATACCATGGTCATGGCAACACTCCTATCCACTTCTAGCCCCAGTTTCCGGGCTACCTTATCTTCGCACACAGTAGATTCTGACCCATCATCCACAATAGCCTCCATCCTAACTCCATTCACAGTGGCATTTAGTTTTCCACTACCAAGGACGTAGAAGTAACTGTTCTCACCCTCAATAGTCTCTCCATCTTTCTCCATCCCTTTTTCCACGGTTAATATAAAAGTCTTCGCCTCTACTTTACAGCCTCCAGCTACCGTCGCTTCTGGTAGTGGCACCTTAGCTTTTTGCATCATCCCTATTAGTTCATCCCTCGTGGGACCACATTCGGCTATGAATTCCTTAAGGGTGATGGGGATGGGCATGTCCATCGCTCTTCTTAATGGTTCTCTTAGGTCCACTTCGTCCAACGTGCTTTTTAACTGGAATTTCTTAGGCCCCCTTTTCCTAGGGGACAGGGGCGACTTGGGCGACTCCACTTGCTCATCCGTCATTGGTTGATCTGGATCCTCTTTCTTCTCGTTACTCGACTCCCCAACTCCTTGAGTATAGACGAAAGCCTCGCTATTGCTCATCGTTTCCTCAAATTTAATAGACAAAATCCCTATCCCCGGGCTCTCAGGTGCCTCATCAATCTCATCTTCGAAGGTTACCCGGGAAACCTTCGTTGCTAAGGACGCTTGTGGCTGTTTAGCGTTCGCCTCATTCATTCTCCTTCTTCGGATATCAACATTAATCTTCATGGAAGGCAAGAAGGGCACAGGATTCCCTTCATCTGCCCACATCACATATTTTCTATCATCTAACTCAATGATTCCTTCCTTTAATGCATCTAGCATGGCTTGGCAGTCCCTCTTCCTGTGGTCTTCATCACCACAATACATGCAAGCCTTATCATTCCACACCCGTTTTGGACTAGGGCCTCCTTTCTCCCGCCCCTCCGGTCGTGGAGTGGCTCGGACAGGCGGTTCTTCCTTTTTATGGTTGCTATTTTGCAGTTTCTCCATTGTCGCTTCCAATGTCTTTAACTCCTTTGCCATTTGATTCTCTCGTCTTTCCGATTTCCTGACCTCTATCTCATCCCTAGACTTCCACTGGCTATCTTTGGTAAGGGACCATTTGGAGGTTCCCCATTCTCCATCGTTTCTTTTCCAATCTCCTTGGTTCCCTTTCCTCCATTCACTGTCACTTCTACTAGGCTCTCCCTTTCTGGGTAAGCTCGGATTTGTTTCTCTCCCTTCCACCTTAGGCTTCCTATCCTCAATTTGAAGTCTTCGTCCTCCTCTCCCCGAAGTTAATCCCTATCCTAGGTTCTCGAAAACTTTCAGGATATGTGCTTTAGCGCTCTGCCCTTCTGTGTCGTGAGCTAAAGCCTTAACTTGCGCAAGTGTCATGCCCATAGTCACGAGTTCCCTCACAATCATCTCACGCCTCTCTCGCGGAAAGGACCCTAGGAATATTCCGCATTTTTCTAGTTCTCCCATAAATCCGCCCTCTACCAGAGGGTTCGAGGCCTTCTCGTATCTCCTCGCAAACGCTACCAGGCTTTCCTCCTCCTCTTTCTTCAGTTCTTTCATATCCTCTATCGAGTAGGAGATTTCATTACAAGCGAAGACTCTAGTAACCTTCTCTCTGAACATTAGCCAACGACCATCGTCCGGAATGGCGTTCCTTACCTCCCAGTCTATCTTTGGTGTCGTATGGTGGAGGAAGTTTGCAATCATCTCTTGGTCAGTCCACTCTCCTCTCATTCCAATAACCTCCCGATCATCCAGGAATTCGGAAACGTTTTTTCCAGTGAAAATTGTTTCGATCCCGGTCAACGCCGGTAGTTGGTACACTGGCGGCCCAAAGAAAGTGGGCACATAGGAGCTCGATGGGTATGCCATCGAATAGGGACTCCTTTTGTAAGGTTCCCCAGGTGCCTCTCTCCAAGAGTACCTACCCCCTAAGTCTGTGAACCTGGCCACTCCCGAGTCTGCGAACCTGGCCACTCTGGGTCTCGTCGAAACCTCCTTTCTCCAACTCTCCCCTTTAGCGCTTCGCCCTTCTATTTCCTTGGCCCAGTTCTCCAATTCTCTTAAGGCTCTTCTTAATTTCTCAGCGTCATTAACAGTCTCGATGCCCATCTTCCTTTCAGAACTGTTCGTCCTCGACTCCTGCGTTTTCACGTCCCCTCCAATCCAAGTTAGACAAATCCCTTCAACATCCATCTTCCCTGTCTAATCTCCCGATACTTGGCCCAAGGCTATTAGGATCCTTTCGATCGAGCCTTCCAAGACTTCCTGTAGCGCCTCGAAGTCGGCGTCCTCTCCCTCAGCCCTGACAATTAAAGCGGTGGTCAGCACAACCTTTGAATAGCGCGAGTTAGCCTCCAAGGTCCTCAGCGAAACCCCGTCTACTGTATCCTTTGAAAGTTCTTCGGGCTCCCCGGCGTCCTCTCTTAGTTTAGTTCTTGCCTTGGCTATGGTCTCTCTCCACTCCCGAAAAAACGCCTCGCCTTCAAACGGTATCGTGTGAATCTCAATTTTTGCCACTCGAAGCTCATCTGCCGCTTTCTAAATCGCACATATTCTTGCTTCCCTGACAACCTTTCTAGCGGATTTTGTCTCCTTCCCTTGACTTAACCTCTCGTCCTGTATAACCTCTACTCTAACTCGCACTTAGGACCCTTATATCTTTGCTCCAGCAACCAGTTGATACTTGTTGGCCTCCCCTCGACTACTAGTCATCCTTCTTCTCGACTTCGCTACGGATCTCTCTTATTCTCCTGGCCAGAAATTCCTCCCTCCAGTTTATTATCCTCTCTTTCTCCTCCTTGTAGACCACATCCAAATCTTCGACTCTCCTCTGAAGCGCAAGGAGTCCTTGTTCATCTGTAGAGTCGCACCAATCCTTTTACCCATACACTAGTTCCACTACTTTATCGTTTATTGGGTCAAGAAACAACTCAACGAGCGAGTTAATCTTCTCATCCCTTCCCCTTACATGCGGGATCGTGCCTCTTGGACGGTCTCATTTTTCTCCACTTCGTACTTCAGCCATCCTAAGGACCATACCATCACGTCATAGGTTATCCGCCTTTCGGTCATCACTAATGCAAGCAGCCTAGGCCGTTCTCGTTCAATCACTTCCTCGACTAGGCGCCTACAACTTCGTTCATCCAACGATCTCGTCGGCCTAATTCAAATGATCGATGTTATCCTTCCGATGAAAGACACCCTATTCACTTCCTCTTCCTTGGTCACCGCTCCCGGCATCGCTCTCGGTCTCACTCCCGACCTCAGCAGAGCTATTGGTCGTCGGTTCGCCGCCTTTAACTCTTCGTACAAACCCTCTTATTGCCTCTCATCCATTCCTTCGGGGCGCGACCATACTAGGCTGAGGTTTAGGTATCCCTACAAAAGGCACCACATCCGTGCTCCACACATGAGTCTCATCGTCCCTTTCCAATCTCCTCTTTTCTTCTAGGACTATCCCGACGGCCCATTCCCAACAACTACCACGTCGTTTCTCTCTATACCTATCCTTTGGCACATAGATCCGCGTGTCGTACTCGTCAAGATCAATGAAATAGTAGGTCAGTCCATAAAGACATTCGTCTCCCCACCCAAGCTTCTTCAAAGCCTCGTATCTCGCAATCACATAAGGGAAAACCTCTCTCGGAGCTAGCTTGTTCAAAGAGTCTAGGAGTCGCTTCTCCTCCTTTCTACTCAGCCTACCAGCCCCCCTCCCTCGAGGGAACCAGGGTCTGAACGGCAAAATCGCACTCATCAGGACCCTTACCTCTCTAGTGTTTTACTGCCCTCAATATAACTCTCACTCTCACTCTCACTCATCAAGTCCACACAATAACTACTGAAATCGATCGAAGATGTGACGAGGAGAGATTCACAAACCAGCTTTCGGGAGAAACAATTTCTGTATTCTCATTTAGTCTACAATAATAGGATCCGCTGCGCTAGTCCCAGTCCCAGAATTAAATTCTCCGTCCAGAACAGGAAAATCAGATTGAGTCCCGACGATTCTTACTAACAGTCTAGGACGAATTGTCCGCCCAATCGGGTGACGCCGGTAATGAACTCGCGGATCCCAGGGAACCGTGCTCTAGCTCTCTGTGTCGGAGTTAGATTCTCGGGCCCACTCAGGCCACAGCTCCAGATCAAGCTTGACCATGGGCGCCAGTCTTCTTGACGATCCTCCGCCTGCTTCCAATATCCCGACCAAACTCCCGCGGCCCTCAGACGTCCGTAACAATCCGGAGTTTTTCAGCCCGATTTTTAATTGTCTTTGCCTGTCTCCAAATACCCAATCCGGTCAGATCGCCCGACATGAGCACAAGGTCCCAGGCTCGCTCGAATCCCATCTCGTCTAAAACTTGTCCTCAATCCCCACACGTTCGAAAACCCCGGCTTGATCCCAAAGCCGCCGTTCCGTCGGAAGTCCCAACTCGCGGCTCCTTTCAAAACCACGGTCTCGACCAGTATCGCGGTCTTCTTGAAGTCTCGAGTCGTCCCATAGTCACGGTCCCATCCCAAAGTCTCGGTCCTTCTGACGAGTCCCGCCCTAGATGTACCAATTCAGCCTAACCCGTGTTTCGCAGTCCCGATCTGCCTGGGTCTCAAGTCCCTGTTCAATTCTGAGCCCCGTGATTCCGACCTCAACTCCGATGTCCGGCCATCCTTGCTTGGTCCCGTGGTCCCAACTGACGAATTTTTACCAAGGTCATGTCTGCGACTCCTTTCAAAACTTGGTTTCCGTCGTTGTCTCGTGGAAATGCCCTCGAGCCCTAAATAGCCCCGGTCTACTTGCTCATGCGCCCGAAGTTCTTGTCCTAGCCACGTCGAATCCGTGGTCCCTATCCCTGTGTTCCGATCCGGGTTCTAAATCCCGAGCCGTGCTCGAAGCCTTAGCTCAGTCGGATGCCACTCTACGCTCCAAGGTCCTGTTTCAATGTCTCTTCGGCGCAGAGTTGGACCGCCCGTTTCAGATGCGCCCCCGAGCACGACGCGCTCGACGCCCGACCTTGGCCGTACGTGACACACGCTGCTGCTCACACCCGCACGCGAAGCTTCCCACGCGTTCCGACCTGCCTGCGAGTTTGCGAATGCTTTCGTGCTCCGATCCCGTCTGCGCGGATGCTCCGTGGTTACGTCCGCTCGCTCGCTCGTACCCGTGTGTGCTCTCTTACCCCTATCTCGTGGAGTGTGCGAGTGTTCCTACCCCGTTTCGCGCGTGTTTATGCTCCGATGCGCAACCGAACGTGCGCGCGCAGGTAGGCAAGTCTTGTTCCGTGCCAACCGTGTGCTGATTGCGCACTAGTACGCGTGTGCGCGCTGGTGCGTGTGATCCGGATCACTTCACTTTTGATCGCGCGACAACGCGTGCGGCTGCTCGCCGCTTCGCACGTGCCAATCCTTGCTCCGCGCGACTACACCCGCTCTGCCCGGTGTCGGGACTGGTGGGTCCCGAATAACTTCCCATCACTCGAGAGATTGAATACGGACAATTTGTGCACAACAGAGAAATCTGGAGTGAGGAAGCAGAAGAGAGAAAAGACAAAGGATTAGGCCGCAGAAGGGAGTGATGCCCTGAGGAGAGAACCACAGGAGGAAAGAACTAGCGACGGCAAGCAAGCGAGCGCAAGAACAGGGGCACATAGAACATAGCAGGAGGCCGAGAGGGCCATCGAAATGCAATAAGACTAAGGCCAAAGGGCCCTTTGAACTAGCAATTGCAGCGCGACAGCAATAAGGGAATGAGGAAGCCAAGAGATGGGCGGCCCAGAGGCCGCGGGAAGTCAGGAAATGAGGGGCCAACATGGAGGCCACCTACGTGAGCCTCGGAGCAGAGGCCCACGACCAAAAGAGATCGTCACGCACAAGGCGCAAGGAAAGACTAAGGAGAGAGGTCGCTAGGGGGCGACTAGACGCCCAAGGGGCATGGGACACCTCGGGGAAAGGCACCCGGGGCCACGTGGGACTAAGTAAAAATAATGGCGTCCGGGGCGAAATGTGTCGGAGACCGCCGACGGGACTAAGCGTCGGGAACCACCGACGGGACTAAGTGTCGAGGACCACCAACGGGACAAAAGGCGGGGACATGTGAAAGTCCCAAGAAGAAACGGCGGCACCTCATGAGGGAAAAATAATAAATGCAAGGTGCACCGTCAAGATCGACATCTTGACGACCAAGAATATTAGCACCACTAGTGCAAGTACTAGTAACGACAAATGGGAAGGCCAAAAGAAAAAGGAAAAATAAAGAAAACTGAAGTAGGAGGCATGGGAGCAATCCGAAAATTCTCGGATCAGCCTCCTTAAAAAAAATAGAGTCAAATAAGACCCCATGTGAAAAATAGCCCTCCGGGAGAAAATCGCAGTAGGAAGGACCATTGTGGGAGAAATGTAGGAGTAAAAGGAGGCTCCCATGGGCATGGGGAGGCCATTATTGCAGTCCGAGAAATAACGGACTGCATCCTGGGCATAGGGAGGGCCAAAACTAAGAGGAAGAGGCTAGAAAAGGGCCTTAACGGCCACTTGACACTTGGCATGCTAGAAAAAAGAGAGAAAAGAAAAGAAAATGGGGGGAGAATAAGACAAAAAGAGTGAGAGGGAGTGAGTGAGTTGGCCGTCAGTAGGGACTGCCATAGGTAGGGACTGGCAGGTCCCTACTGTCCAAGAAAGGAGGAGAAAAGAAAAGAAAAGAAAAGAAAGAAAAGAAAAGAGAAAAAGACCTTAACGGTAAAAAACGGTCACTTGGGGAGATTCATCCGTGACCAGATTCATTCTGGAATATGGCGGTTACAAAAGACTTTGATTTTCTTTGATTTTTGCGAAGAAAATCAAAGAAAATCAAGGCCTCTTGCAACCGGAATAAAACGAAATACATGCATGAGGAGAAACACATGTTTTAGATGCATCCGGAGCCAAAATCAAGGCCGTATGCACTTGGGAATTGGTCGTTTCTTTTTCTTTTGAGTAGGGGCTAGTTGTGGGGCATTGGGGCTAAGGAATCGACCCCCATTGCAGTCCGAGTTGCAACGAACTGCATGGGGGAAAGAAAACACATTGACCCAATATTGAGCCCGGATGCACTAGAAAGTTTTACGCTTCATTTTCTTTTAACACGGGGCAAGTTGTGGGGCTGTGGGTATAGAAAACAGCCACGACTGCAGTCCGAGAAATTACGGTCTGCATGGGGATGCCAAGGCCAAAGGGGAATGGGCTACGGCAAGCCCGGAAGGCTAGAAAGGAGCAATTTCAGCAAGGG